TCTCTCTCTCTCTCTCTCTCTCTCTCTCTCTCTCTCTCTCTCTCTCACACACACACACACACACACACAAACACACACACACACGCACACACACAAAGGGGGTCTGAAATCCCCTGACAGGTGAGTGCGCTGGGGGGGGCCGGCCCCCAACCGGGTGCCCTGCCCGGCCAGGCCGCCTGGGACCTCCCCTGGGCCCCTGCCGGTCACCCGGGCGGCCCGGATCCCCACAAAGAACTGAACAACTTTGTTAAAATAAAAAAAAAGAACGACTTTTTTTTTTTTTTTTTGCCTCATGCTCTCATCGAAATTTGTGGTCATGAACGGTGCTTGAATTGAAGTGTGGACTCAAGGGGATTTTTTTTTCCCCCTTTCTTTTTGGATTTATGGATGTCTTTTTCCCTCCCCACTCCCACGTGGAAGCCCATCTTTTTCTGTGGGGGATTTTTGTGTGACCTGCCGTCTGGCGCATTGGTATGATGATCCACCACGATCATGATGTTCACCAGTACGTTTCCCAGCTAGAAAATCAAAGTTGCAGCGTGCATGCTGTCACATCTCTCGGGAAGTACCGGGGCACCTTTTCACTGGATATCCATACAGGTAAAACGGGCCTCGCATATGACCCGTTTTGCTTGGGTGGATGTGCCAGGAAAGGGCGTCCTGGTACTTCCCGAGAGTTGTGGCAGCATGCTTGGCGCAACTTTGATTTTCTCGCTGGGAAAGGCGGCAGCATGCGTGGCACAACTTTGATTTTCTCGCTGGCAAATGCACTGGTGGTTTAAACACAGAGCGAGAGCGACTTTCTAGTGGTTTAAGCACAGAGCGATTTCTCCCTGGAAAAAGTACTCGTACTAGTGGTTTAAACACATCAAGATCACTCATGATTTCGAGTAAAGAAAATTTCTCTCTCCATTAGAAGATAAGCATCTATCGAGAAAGCATGCCTACACCTTTCTCAAAAAAATAGCAAACGTCCACATCTCTCCCCCCGCGCCCCCCTCTCCCTCCCCCCTTCCTCCTTTTCTACACATTTTAATAATACTACTAGTAACTTAGTAACAAGTAATAGGACAATAAGAAGTGGTTTTGTGAAAAATGATAACAATGACAAATAATGATAATAACAATCAGTACCAAGGGGTTAGCTCAGTTGGTGCTCCCCTGAACTGTACCGTGAATGTCTACCGGTGCGGGATGCTCTTAGTCATAACCCTGAGATGACGTGGGTTGGTACCTGCGCTCTTGAGCTGAAATGCTTAACTGCTCTGCCTCGAACGTGTACAATAGTAGTGTGGATTCCATACGTCTGGGCCTAAGCCCTCCTCCATGCAATCACAGATTCGAACCAGCGACCTCGGTCTCAAGAGCCAAGTCTCTTAACCTCTACAGCCAGGACACGGTGTTCAGAAGGAAGTGGAATCTTACGGTCGTGATATCCACCCCACCCCTGCAATGCGTAGTGTCCAACTCAACACACACGACACACAACACCCACGGACACGGCAATTCTCGTACACTTACCTCTATAGTCAGCAAGTAACCCACCCGCTCACTCAGACGGGACTTATCAATGCCACTTTTTCAAAAAAAAGTAAAAAATAGTATTAAATTAAATGCAGACTCAAGTTAGAATGCAGGTAATATCAGAAAAATTGTTCTACATTGCCTGGGGCTGGTCAGTTCAATGATGATAATAAGCTATGTTACCGAATGTACACGTACGGGGCCTTTCGGTACGTAAAGTGCAGGTAATATCTGTACGGGCACCCGTACGTCTTGTACACCCCCGTAGTGGGGCCGGGGGGGGGAAGTCATCAAAAAAATCCGAAAAAAAAAGTGCTGCAACAGCACAAAACAAGGAACATTTGGCTTAGCATCACCTGCAGATTCTTATTAGAATTTGAGTTAAAGAAAAAAAAAAACATCGTACGGGCCCCTAGCGTATGAGTATAGCTCAGGAGCACAGGAGATTTCGTACTCATACAAGGGTGCATACAAGTCGCAACATAGATAATGAGTGTTAATAACAATCACTAAAATAATAAGAAAGTAATAATCTACGTAGCACCATGTCGGGAACATGTTCGCCCGAACGCGAACAAGCACCCAAAACCCTCCGAACGTGAACATAAAAAAAAAAACAAGCTCTCAGAAAAATCTGAAAAAAATATATATTATGTAAAATAACAATACAAGCAACTTTTGCCTTGAGTCCTGATGAAATTCGTAGCCAATCATGAGTTAAAAATAAAAAAACGGAAAAATAATTAATTATTATAATATTATTTTTATTTTTATTTTACCAAAAAAACATTATGTTCACCCGAACATGTTCGTGAGCTGTTTGCGTGAGCGCGCGAACAAGTTCGCCCATATGTGAAGGGGTGCGAACACGTTCGCCATGCTACGCGGGTAATAATATAAATAATATAATATAAGTAGTAATTATAATAATAATAATAATAATAATAATAATAATAATAATATACAAAGTAATTATGTGTAATACTAGGATACCAGCCGGGCGGCCCAGATCACCCTGTTTTCCCAGGCGCCCCGGCCGTGCTAGGACCAGGGAAGGTCCCGGAAAAAACCCCCCTAAAAATACAATGTTATGCGGAATAATAAACTGAACAACTTTTGCGCCAGGGTCACATTGAAATTCTTTACCAAATTTAAAATAACAAATACAATTTATTTTTATTTTTATTTTTATTTTTAATTTGGCCGGGAAAGCCTAGGTGTAATACTAATAATCATATTTGCAGCGCACCAGTGCGCAGTGGGGGGCAGTGTGGTGCGCAGTGCACCGTGCGCTGGAATTCCAGCGCGCGCACTGTGCGCT